CCCGTTTAATACAACCAGCAATCGAGCAAGCAAGATAGTTCATGCCCACTAAAAGAGCCTTCAAGAGAAATTCCCCCATGTCTATAAGCAGAAAATGATAGTTGCATATTCAAAAAATAAGAACTTAAATGATAATATTGTTCATAGTAAACTAAAAACAATCAGTACGTAACAGATACTATACTTCTCGCCCATCGGGCGAGTTATTTTTTCTAATTTCAGATCAGAATAAGAACAGAAGAAAACCCAATATCAAGACCCTTAATCCTAATTTCTAAATAAAGTGTCTGCTCCACCCTAGGCCTGTACATTTGGGAGAATCAAACCCTCCCTTCCCCGAAATCTGATTATTTGCAAAATATTAATTTCACATGTTCCTATCAACACGAAAAATCTAGTTTAGCGGCATGGGGAAATTCATCTAATCTAACAATGAATTTGAGAAAGATCGAGGATGTTAATATTGCGTCTCGGAGCTTGTTTGATAAAATACAATCAAGCCATGAAAAAAACTGTCTTCCAAAACGTTTCCAATAATCTAACGGCTCCTTCTTTATCTTTAAAGGGTTGGTATTATTTATATCATTACGATAAAGAAATGGTTGAAGAAGAATGGTATGAAACTACTAGAATGGTTCCGAAACATACGGAAAAACAAAACGTAGAAAAAGTTTACTCGCATACTCATCCTTTTATAAGATATTTTATCAGACAAAGATTTAAAGGAGGAAGAGTTTCGGCAAATCGAAAATCATTTGAAACGGATAAAATGAATGAAATCTGCGCCATATTAAAAGAATACGATGAAAGTAACACTGAAGGAATAATAGATTTATTCAAAGAATACAGTGTTAACCCAAAAGATAAAACGGAAGTTCACGCTAAACTCAAAGAACTGGACTATTCTAAACTGATGGCATTTGACGCTAATGGGTTGTACGCTTCCGCCATGACAGAAGGTGAATATCCTAAAGCGGAAAGTGCAAGAGCGTTTCTACCAGAAGAAGAAAAAGAATTTGTGAAACTCTTCAATAAACAAAAATTCAGACCTAGAACTGCTATTTTAAAAGTCTGGTTTGAATATCCAACCAACATGTTCTTTCAACCCATACCAGCTAAAGATAAAATAACTTTTACGAATAGAATAGGTCAGAAGGAAACTGGCACTAAAATAAGGTTCAGAAATGGTTTCTGTCACGACGTTTTAACATCAGTTGATATTCAAGAAATAGTGAAATCCGGTGGTAAAATTATTAGAATATTAGATGGTATAGTATACGAAGAAAATTTTAAAACTCCACCATACAGAGATTATATTTTAATTTTGAAGGAATTTAGGAATAAATACAAAAAAGAAGGAGATATGGTTGCTAGTAATTGCATGAAATTATTAGGTAATTCCTTATACGGTAAATCTATTCAGAAGGATATAAATACATCGAGACATCTATGGAGTGAATCGACTTTTAAAGCCAACTTCGATTCACACGTCAAAAGCTATGAAAAAGTAAATGATAGTCAATATACAGTTGAGATGAATGAAGAAGAAAAAGAGTTTGTTCCTCCAAAGGATTTTACTAGATTAACACCCGCTCATTTAGGTGCATTTATATTATCTCACAGTAAAAAAATAATGAACAATTTCATTCACGTAATAGATGGATTTTATAAGCCGGAAATATACTATACAGATACTGATAGTTTATACATTTCGTCTAGCAATTGGGATAAATTAAATGAAGCTGGGTTGGTGTCTGAAAACGAATATAGCAAAGGGAAGAATGATTATGGTGATGGTGGAATCATATTTGGTTTATATTTAGCGCCAAAAGTAAAATACAATATCATTCTAACTTCCGATGGTGTTTTAAAAGAAAAGAAAACGTTTAAGGGTTACTCTAAAGATAAGATAGGCGTTGAAGATTATATTCGATTAGCTAGTGGACATGACGTAACGAATGAATTTAAGAAACCTTGGTAAAAAGTTTTACTGATGGAATAGTTATTCCTAATGAAAAACAAAAGAAAGTTTTCAGAAGTTATCTGAATCTCGTTAAGAGAAAAGCACCGAATGAAGAGGGAATTATGTATCCTTACAACGATGGAAAGGAATTAAACATAGATGAAAACTATGAATTTGATGATTTGGATTATCTAACTATTCAAGAAGAGAATGAAGAGTGTTAATTTTTTTGTTTTAAATGAAGTTGAATAACAATTTCCTCGTTACCAAAACCTATTTTTACCATCTTTGATTTCCAGATTTATATCTTTAATTATAAAGGAATTAAGTTGGAAATACGTCGTTTGAAATGGTTTCTCTATAATTCTATATCCTATCGGTACAGTGAATGTTGGAAGACTGTAAATAATCTGACGTTTATATTTATTGAAAAATCCACCATTTATCAAATTGCAATGTATATTTATCACATCGATATCATTCTCGATATTAGCTTTGTGTGGTGCTAAAGTGGATTAGGTGTATATTTTTTTTTATCAAATCCTAGTAACATATTCAATGAATTTTCTACGTTGAAAACAATTTGACAATTATTTCTTAGTATCAATTTTATTTTTTTAGATTCAAATTACCTTCGAATTCAATATTGTTTTTACCATTGACGCTTCCTGCGTATTCAGATAAGTATTCGTTAATGGCTATGTATTCATAGCTTCCTGGTAGTAAACGTATGGTTTTGAATGTAACTCCATTATCTGTTGATATTTTTATTTGGTTATTTTTTCGTTGATATTTCCAATGGTATTGTAAACAGAGAAATACTTTAATCCCAATTCATATTCTTGATTGCGATCGAGTTCGTACTCATAATCTAGAGACAATTTAATGTCTGATTTATTCGAGGTCATGACGAATAGTTGCCCTTTATTTGACATTTTTTATTACGCTTTTATAATCATTTTTATCTATGATACCTTTTTCTAGGAGTCTTTTTAATATACAATTTACTTCATTATATTGTCTGTGCGATCGATGTCCTTCCTTCATTGCCGCTAATATTTCTCGTAATCTATTAAGTAGTTCCTCGTTGTTGTCGGGTAAAAACGTTATACCTTCTCCAGATACCATATCTTCGAATTCGTCTATTTCTTGTATGATTGGTGGATAATCTTCTGCATAATCATCTGATTCCTCTTCATCAGGAATAACTTTATTTAAATATGTTTCAACTATTTTTAATCTTCTTGTTTCGGGTCCCGACTTTCTTATTGCATGTAGAAATTTTGAGTATGCTAGTAAATCCTTGTAATCGGCGATTTCAACATCCTCGCCATTCATTAAATCTATTAATCCTCTCGTTAATGTGTATATATAATCTTTTGTATCGATTTTGAATAAAGGGGAATTTGGACTAAATATTATTCCATTAAACAATAAACCTTGATTATCAACGATTGGTGAAATGCTCTTTGGTAAATCTGGGTCAGGGTTTGAAAAAAGACGATTTATATCATCTAATGCCCTAATTATAATACCATCATATTCAATCGCTTTAGGGTGTTCTATATGAGGTGTGGGTTCTATAGGAGGTTTATATTCTAATTTCCTTTTAATATCCTCTTGAGATTTTAATATGGGTTGAAATAGAGTTTGTAGATTTTCCGTTAATCCGAGTTGTTGTAATCTATTATTTTCAACTTGGGTCTTTATTTTATTCTTAGCTTTGATATATTCTCTATTTCTTTTTAAAATATTATTCCAATCGCTACTCATTTTAAAAAAAAATACAATTAACATATATCGTTCATAACTCTTTCACCCGCAGGTTTTCTAGTATTTACAAATACATATCCATGATCATTTGGATTTCTCCATTGAGCATTACAAACCTTTTTAAATGTATCTCTGTCCATTCCGTGATTTATAGACTGAATGATTTGAGATAAATCTTTGTCGTTCAATTCGAATAATAAATAACAATTTGCATTTTTTCTAATGAACATAGAATCCATCCCGTAAAAAGATTGGGATTGGTATATGCAGTGACAGTTGTGATGTCTTCCTTTCGTGGAGAATTCTTGTTGAACAGTTTGATTTCTTTGCGCTACGCAGTCGTCAAACAATATTAAGTTCTTTCGCTCGCTATATATTTTAGACAAATCTAGATCATTAACATTTTTCGTAAGAAAAACTTCTATATCCGTTGGTTTCTTTCCTTTGATGTAGTTATCTATGAAATCTTTTATTTCCACTTTTTCTTCGTTTTCTTCGTAATATTGAAATAGGTCTTGAACATCTCTCTTTGGTAGATATTCTAAAGCTTTGAGAAATTGATAATACGATTGCTCTGGTGTTGTTGTGTAGATATAGAGAGAATCGAAATCTAAAAGGTTTGGTGTCAACATGTTAAAAGTGAGATGAGTTTTCCCAGAACCGGAACTACCGCATATACACATGAGCATTGGGTTATTAGGAAATATTTCTGAATGATTAAATTTTTTTCCCATTTTTATTATTTTAATTTGATCCAAAAATAACTCCTTCTCCTTTATACTTCGAAAGATATATTCCTTCTCCGGTGCGTATGTTTTTTAATAATATTCCATTACCCTTATGTTTGACTTTGATTTCTCCTGTGTCAATACTATCTACTAATTTATTTAATCCTTGTTTAACAGTTTTCTTGGTTTCTTCTCCAAATCTTTTTCCAAATTCTTTTATTGTGCCTATCATTTCTCCCACTCCTGAACCTTTGGCCATTTTTAAATTATGTCTATGTTCTTCGGCGTTTGCAGCGGCTTCAGCTTTCTTTGCGTTGGCAGAACTTACTGCAGCAGATATCCCACCAGTTGCTACACCCGCCGCGGTAAGACCACCAAATATTAAAGGTAGGAGGAAAGGTAAAAATCCATCTTCTTTTGCGTTCGCGTCAATTCTTTCTAAGTCTATATCGTCTCTGACTTTACAATATTTATATTTATCAATAAGTTTTTTAGTTATGCTGATTTTTTTTTCCATTATAAGTTATTGTAGTTGGTGAAGCTGTTTCTATAGCTTCTATTATTTTCTTGACTAAAGTTTCTGGTTTCATTTTTAAAGGTGTATTTTTTATTCAATTCTTATCATTCTTCTATCTGCTATTTTAATTAAATGTTTTGCTTCTTCCAATAATAAACAATAACCTGTTACATCTCCTTGTGTTTTTTCAATATGAATATTTATGTTCACTCCTGTTTTGAAAAGATCTTCGTGGTGAGCTGATAGATCAAAACAGAATATTGGATGATTAAGTGCAAAATCTACATATTCAAACTGAGGTAGATTTCCGAATAATTCACAAATATTTTTATAGTTTCTATACAATTCATTATAATCCTTTGTGGTTGGATTAATTGTTAAAGGTTGGTTAGGATAATTATCGTTATTTAATCTTACTTGAACTTTATGGATTAAAGGATCTTGAGTTTGGTTCACTCTAAAGACATTATTGTTATTCGTTTGAGAATCTGGTAAGTTCTTGAAACCGACTATTAAATATCTTGCTGGTTTAATAGTGTTAGTGATTGGCCATGTGGTGGATTCTCCCGTTAAAGTCATGCTACCCACCGTATTGCGATGAAGAAAAGCTATTTCAATATCTTTAGTTAACGAGTTGAATATTTTTGTTTCTACTTCAATTGATGGTGTTATTACGGGTATAAAAAGTTCGAGATTCGTTATTTCTAATTTTGCATGTGAACCATTCTCTCCAAAGAATATCTTATCGTCGTTTATTTCTCTTTGTAGATGAATTTTATATGGTAAGCCTATGGAAACTTTTCTATGTTCCAACAGATCGAATAAAGGATATAATTTCCAATTTACGTAATTACCCCACCTATTATTCTCAACAACATTATTATACTGAAGTACTCGTTTTTCGAATCCATGATTAACTGCTCGTCCTACTCTTTCTATCGTGTTTCGAGCAACAACTCTCACTCTAGCTAAATCGGCATCATTTGCAAGATTTCTTACCGGTTCCTTTAAAATACTTCCATCACCAACATCGGGTATCCAGCCTGAAACTGAATCGAAATCTTTGGGATATAAAACTGTTTTCAACATTGTGTCGAATTCCCCAGGATGTTTGATTGTTTCTATCGGATTTGAACCAGCTTCCAAAACCATCTCGCTAAATAAAGATGGAAAGAAATTGTTTTCTAACGTTGTATTTGTTTGTGGAACTTGATTCTGAGTGGCGTCTTTGATTTTGAAATCGCATCTGAAATAAGCATCGGAAAGAAGCAACCAATTTGATAATGAATTTATTTCGAAGGTAATTCTACCACCATCATGCAATTGGGATTTAGAACCAACAGTGGGTGAGATGATAATATAATCCTCTTTTTTCTTGTTAAATGAATAACGAATTGGATCGTATAATCTAAAGATTGGATCTAGTATTTTATTTGCCATTTTTAAGGTTTAAAATTTGAGTAGAAAATTTTAATATGCTTTTTTTTTTGATGGAATGTAGAAAATTGATTGAAGGTGTTTTTAGTGTATGAAATGTAGGGTGTTTATGAAATGTAGGGAATTTAGGTGTAAGAATTTATGAAATGTAGGGAATTTATGAAATATAGGGAATTGATGTCTTGTTTTTTGGGGAGTTCATAGATTGGTTGGATTTTTCCCATGAAATGAAAAAAATGGAATTCCCATGAAAAGGGGAAAAACCCATGAAAAGGGGAATTCCCTTCGAACAATCTATGAACACTTATACTACTATGGAAAAGGCAGCAAAGAAATTAGCTCTTGCAAAAAAAAAAAAAAGGTTTTGGAGTGGCAGATATGTTAGGTACAGTTAAGAGAATTTGGAAAACGATTTGGGGAAGAAACCAAATAAATAAATAAATTAGTAGATAGTATTGATACAGGAAAAGTCAAATATAAAGGTGATGGAATATTTTTATAAAACATACGCACTGGAGAAGGAATATATCATAGTATAAAGGAGATGCGTGAATTTTGGAACAAAAAAAAATAATAAAAAATGGTCAAAAAATTTAATCATTTAGAAATATTTCCTAATAACCTAATGCTCATGTGTATATGCGGTAGTTCCGGTTCTGGGAAAACTCATCTCACTTTTAACATGTTGACAACACCAAACCTTTTAGATTTCGATTCTCTATATCTACACAACAACACCAGAGCAATCGTATTATCAATTCCTCAAAGCTTTAGAATATCTACCA